CCCTAAACCCTATAAGCCCGAAACCTCTTCGGCTTGCACTTAAAGGACCCCTGGTGTGCCCAGCCGGCCCCCGAATTGGGGAGCGCTGCACTCGCCGCCCAAGCACGCTCGGCGCCACGCCAGCTGCACTTTGAGTTTAGGGTTTAGGGGTTTNNTTTAGGGTTTAGGATTTAGGGGAAGGGGACGTTTTCATGTGACTCAGAGAGTAGGGTTTAGGGATACCTGTCGGGACGCTGAGCTGCTGCTGGGGACTTCCATCGTTTCCTAAACTTACAAGAAGGAACCCCAAGATAGTATTGGTAATGAATGTAGGGGCCTTAACAATTAGAATAGGACTATGGGGTTCCTTATAGCTATAGTATAATATATCCCCCCCAAACCCTATTCTAATTATTAAGGCCCCTACATTAATTATTCCAGCCCCGATATTATCCGCACCGCATCGTTTCTCCTTTGCCGTGCCCTCCTGAGGTAGGCGCATCCCAGGCGCATGTCTCTCGGGCCAGGAGCTGGGAGAAGACCCACAAAACCCCAAGGATACTAAAAAGCTATTAGGGTTTAGGGTTTAGGGTTTAGGGTTTAGGGTTTAGGGTTTAGGGTTTAGGGTTTAGGGTTTAGGGTTATATCTAGGACATGTTCAGGTGGGTCGTTACCGTTATAGGAGCCTTTATAGAAGGTCTATATACCTTATAGAAGCCTTATAGAAGCCCTATATACCCTAAACTCCCCACATGTATTTTCCTTTAAAGTCTACAATGCGGCTACAAGTAGGTTGGTTTGAAGATGCTACAACGGCACTATCTGAAGCTTCATCCCGGAGAGCCTTGAAAAGCTGTAGCTTCGATGCCACCTCACAGCACTTCAGAACCCATGCCATGCGTCTAAAGATGAGGAAGATGAACATCAACCCTAAACCCTAAACCCTAAACTCTAAACCCTAAACCCTAAACCTCTAAACCCTAAACCTCTAAAACCCTAAACCCTAAACCCTAAACTCCTAAACCCTTAACATCAACTCTGAGCCGAGGAGTCTTGGTAGGGCTCAGCTAGGGAACCTGATTTTTCCTAGCATTGCAGGGTTTAGGGTTTAGGGTTTAGGGTGTAGGGTTTAGAGTTTAGGGTTTAGGGATCAGAGTTGAACGTGGTAGCTACTGTGGGTTGCATGAATTCCCCAGTGTTTTGGAGAACCTGGTGGGGTATGTTGCGGAGTGATCCTAAACCCTAAACCCTAAACCCTAAACCCTCATAGCTGTAAGGGACTGTAGCCCACAAGCAAGCTGGCTGCCGGAAGAGCTCCAAGGCTTTGGGTTTAGGGTTTAGGGTTTAGGGTTTCGGGTTTCGGGTTTAGGGTTTAGGGTTTAGGGTTTAGGGTAGCCCCTGAACCCTGACCCCTCAAAACTTAAAACCTCGTAGTTCTTCGACCCTCAACCCTTATCCCCGTATTTGCCCTTGTAACACTGAATCTCGTCAACTCCCAAACCAACCATAAAACCTTCTCATTCAACCCTCATGGCCGTACAGAGCCTTCAGTCCACCCCTCAACCCAGAACCGTAAATCCACCCCTCAACCCAAAATCCTAGATTTAGGGTGTAGGGTTTCGGGTTTAGGGTTTAGGGTTTAGGGCCCTGAACCGTGCAGAAAACCGTAGGACGCCTGGAAACCTTTCACCCGCAGGAGCGGCCAAGCAGAGGGTCCTCCCGCTCCGAGGAGGAGCACTTGGGATGTCGGGGCGTAAGCCTTTTAAGGGCTCCCTAAACCCTAAACCCT